AAAATGTAATTGCCCTCTGAAACTAATAATGGGTTGTGTCACCCTTGGCGGCATTAACTGAAATCAAGCGTTTGTGATAATTGCCGATGAGTCTTTCACTTCGGCGTAAAGGAATTTTGGCCCCCTCTTCTTTGCAGAATTGCCCCAACTCCGCCATAGTGGAGGGTTTTCTAGCATGAACTGCCCATTTAAGGTCACATCACAGCATCTCAATTGGATTCAAATCCGGACTTGACTTGGCCACTCCAAAACCTTATTTATTATTATTATTTTTTTTTTAGCCATTCAGAGGTGGACTTGCTGGTGTGTTTCGGATTGTTGTCCTGCTGCATGATCAAAGAGGAGCTTGAATTTGAGGGCGCAAACTGATTGTCAGACGTTCTCCTTCAGGGTTTTCTGGTGGATAGCAGAATTCATTGTCACAGAAAGTTGTCCTTGTCCTGAAGTAGCAAAGCAGCCACAGACCATCACACTTCCACCACCATGCTTCACTGTTGGCATAATGTTCTTTTTATCAAATGCTGTGCCACTTTTACCCCAGAGATAACTCACCACACATCTTCCAAAAAGTTTTGACCCATCATTCCACAAAATGTTTTTCCAAAATTCTTGAGGATCATCAAGATGTCTTTTGGTAAATGTGAGATGGCCTTTGTGTTCTTTTTTGAACAGCAGTGGTTTTCGCCTGGGAACTCTCCCATGGACGCCATTTTTGGTCAGTGTCTTTCTTATGGTAGAGCCGTGAACCCTGACCTGAACTGAAGCCAGCGAGGTCTGGAGTTCTTTGGAGGTTGTTGTAGGTTCTTTTGCAGCCTCCTGGATGAGTCCTTGTTGCACTCTTGGGAGTAATTTTAGTTGGTCGACCACCCCTGGGAATGGTTACCACTGTTCCCAGTTTTCTCCATTTGTGGATAATGGCTCTGACGGTGGTTTGCTGAAGCCCCAGAGTCTTGGAAATGGCTTTGTAAACTTTTCCAGACTGTGAGATTTCAATGACTTTTTTTCTCATTTCTTCTTGAATTCCTTCAGATCGTGTTTCTTGAGGTCTTGTAGCCTATTTAACTTAGTCTGACTGATTCTACTGATGTTATTTCTTGATTCAACAAATGTGGTGCTAGGGACTTGCCTGTGAAATTGAACTCAGCGTTCCCAAAACTGTCGTTTGTCAGTTATTTTGTGATTTTACATGGGGGGCCAATTACTTTTTCCACATAAGGACAGGTGGTTTTGGATTTTTTTTTTTTCTGTGCCTAAATACATTAAATTGCCATTTCGAAACTGTATTTTGTATTTCCTTGGTTCGTCTCTGTGTAGTATTAAAATTGGTTTGATGAACTCAAACCTTAGTATGTGTTAAACATGCGAAGAACACGGAAATCAGGAAGGGGGCAAACGCATTTTCACAGCACTGTAGGAGTGTGGAAGACACATCTGTATTTGCTCAGGCGTGACAAATTATTGCCGCGGATTATACACATATATTGGCAGTCAGTTGCAACAGCTGTTGTATGAAGTCTTCAATCGTACATAGATTAAGTGGTTTGCATCTTAGTAGGGTGATACAAGAGCCTACCGCACGAGCCAAGCTGCCTTGTTTAAATAATGTCATTCCCGCCCTTGATGTTAAGCTCAACCAGTAAGGGAATCTGTCCAGCTTTCTTCTAATGCACTTGAAGGACAGTTTAATCTGTGTCTTTGAATTTGAATGTCACTTTTATTTGGTCTCCCGTAGGAGAAACTTGTCTCGGAGGACAGGCCCTCCGTGCTGCGACATGCATTGGGCAATACGTACCACATGCAATGCACAACGTACCTTGGACGATACATTTATGTTATGTAAAGAGGAATTAAGACACAGCACAAGAAAAAGAGACTTTTCTTGACAACATTTCTGAGGTTGCGTGCCCTTCGACAAGCTTCTCCTGCCTCCTAAACAGACATAATCCACACTTAGAGTCAATTATGACCAAATCAATAGAAAGTCAAAATGCACAGTGCATCTTACGAAGGCAGTAATAGAGATCAATTCCCTCTTCATTACTGGTCAGCATTAGGAATGAGAAAAAGGAGCGTAACGCAACCAGAGCATAGAGTGTATCTGCGTGGGTTTACAGAGAAAAATGTCAGCCGCTTGTGATGGATAGTGCCGCGCCAAATGAGCAGTGAACAGAAACGACAGTATTAAAATGATCATTATGCGCCATTCGTTGTCAGCCGTAAAAGCAGACCAATCATCAAGCAACATTGGGTCCCTACTGTTCAGTTATTAGGACAAAGAATACAATTGCAGACGATGATTCAGCTTGGCCAGTGAAAGTTTGATTTTGTAATAAATGTTGGGATTCTGCCAGAGGTAGGGATCCCCATGCACCGACACGTACTACACATGGTGAACCTACCATCAAAAAAATTAACGGAAGTTTAACTTCATCACGTGTGTCTAATTTGCCCGCGACACACTTGAGATGTTAAACGTCCTCTGTGATTTTTAGAATGTGAGAAACCACACACGTCACGCAAAGAAAAATGGACGAGTAGGTGGTATAATCGAGATGACCAACACAGCACACCGCATGCATCATGATATGTCCACCAAAGGTCTGTCATCCAAATTCAAAGTCTCGTGCACTACGCGGGCTGAGCCGTGAGAGCCAGCATGGTGTCGCAGGTATCCAGGCTGCTGGCAAATCAAAGAAGAATTAGAGGAAGCTCTGCTGTTAACTTAACTGGTAACAGTATAGAGGAGGCAAACTCTTTTTGTCATTTATTTTTTTTTTTTTTATGTGCCTTGGATATGCTCCACAAATACGCAAACCAAATCAATTTCTCCCCCATCTCTGAAGTGTGGCAACAGCACACACAAAAATAATAATCGTAATAATAATAAGGCAGAGGAGTCCAACCTATAGCGCGGGACCATCAGCGGCCCGTGACATGACCCAAAAAAATTATATATACAGTGTGTGTGTGTGTGTATGTGTATATATATATATATATATATATATATATATATATATATATACAGTAAATATCCTCTAGTGCGGAATCATGTTTGCACTGTCCAATCCTTCCTTATAAAAGAATTTCCTTATGTGGGAAATGAGCATGGTACATATCCTTATTGAACATGCAAGTATGTGAAAACAATACACATGTAACAACACAAGCAATGAAATGCAAACATATATGCTCCTAACACTGTTTATAACACAAAAGCTGCAGTACAGTATACTGTACAGGTAAATGAACAAAATACAGTATAACAAACTTGAGGACTATTTGCTCTAAAATGAGACGAGTAACAGACCCGGTGGCTTTTGTTTCCACTATCTCACTCTCTCGACCTCCACTCGATCGCCACCCAAGACAGCGTTGCTCAGCTGATGTCATGCAATGACCTTTTAAAGCCACCCACGGGACGCTTCATCGTCCTCGATGGCCATAGTTAGCGCGATGGAACTCGCCTTCTCTCGAATTAGCGCTCCAGTTAGCATAAGGTTTTTAGCATGATAACAAGTAAAGCATTCCAGGAAACTTTCGTTTATTTGACTGTCCGTCGAGCCACAAGCAATTTACTCTGAGCAGCTAATCGGATGCATTCCACGGATCTAGCTACAGTATCTACACACATCGATACTGAGGTCCCTCTTGGCCAATCGAAGGCCAGGATAATGCTCGGTAAGCCACTGGCAGGGCTGCTATCAGTATGTTGCGTTCAGGAAACTCGGAGCTGCGAACGAAATAAAAATTGTCCACTATTCCAGTAAAACTAATGCTAATAAAAATTGTCCACTATTCCAGTAAAACTAATGCTAATAGAGTCACTTACATGTCGCCATTTTGTATCCAATGAGAGTAAATAGCGGCGCGGACAGTTATTCCATAGGATCGAGCGGGACTTGCTTGTGTTTGCGCCACTGCGTGCTTCTTGGCTTCCAGGTTCCGGGTAGTGGAAATTCCGTTGTTATGAATTGATCGTTAATGTAACATCGTAGTCGAAATTTTAATGGATAGGTTTTTAGTCCGGGTGAAGGAATTTCCGTTTGACAGAACTCCGTAGATGGGAATATTTACTGTATATATATACTAAAAATGACATTTGACGAGGGCCACAAGGTTCGTTAAAACAGGTGAATGTGAGCAGAGTGTGCAAAACTTGGGGGGGAAAAAAAATCATCAACTATTTTCCTTAACACCTTTAACAGAAAGCTGATGAAATTAACTGGACGATACAAACAATATATATTTGCTTTCTTGACTGACGTTAGCATGTTTCAAAAAGTTAGCCGAATTTTAAAGTGGTCCTTTCATCCTTCCATTTTTCTGCATGCGGCCCTCAAACAAAAAAGCTCGAGACACCCCTGACATAAGGATTTTGTTTGTGACACATGATGGGAAAGGGGTAATCGGGTTCAAAACAGTTGTAGTTATCAGTATGTGTTGTCAGGCTTAAGTTGATAATACTATTTGCAAGAATAGCTGTCACTGCATTTTGTGTGTGGAACCACTGACATTACAGTTTTCTTTAAATACTGAACATAGACATAAAACATTTGCTGTAAGATTTGTTAAACTTTTCAGGTAAGGTACAGTCATGTGCAATTGACGCTAAATAACAAAAACATTGACGATCAAGAAAGGAACCCAATATGTAAGGTTTTGTTTTGTTTTTTTTCCCCCCCATCCATATCCGACAAAGCTAAAGCTCATCTCCCCGTTAACTTCTCCTGAGCAGCTGCAGGATGTAGCGGATATGTGTCTGAAACCAGGTCTGTATTTTATCTGTCAGGTGACATGAACCATTGGGCAGTCAATGGCTGTGTAAGGTTCCAGGGTGGGGGGCTGATTAGAGGAACTGGGACACATTAACAAATTGCCATGAATGACAGCTGCCTCTATGGGCCGTCATCAATCATCACCCCCTCGACTGGCTCCATCCTTGAAGAATCCACTTTTGCATTCACCAGGCGTAACGTGCCCTTCCCCGTTGTGTGTCTCAGGTGTGATGAGTGTCAGCTCTGCTACCATTTTGGGTGTCTGGACCCTCCACTGAAGAAATCCCCCAAGCAGGCGGGATACGGTTGGATCTGCCAAGAATGTGACATATCGTCTTCTCAGGTGAGTCAATGTACTGGATGTGTGTGCCTGCTTGAGATAATCATGGGGGAAACTCCTTGAGGTGGGGGGGGGGGGGTACATGACCTGCTCCCAGCATGTGTTGATCAGCACACGTTTATACATGTAGTAGGATCTCTGATGTCGAACGCAGTCCTTCGCAAATTGGCTTGTCCGTAGAAATATTCATATCCAAAACCAGTCGGGCTATCGCTCACTATGCTAATGTTTGCCTTGGACATTTTCGAAGGATTGTTAAAAACCGACAAAAGCAAACGTCCTTGGATCGGTTCTTTACAAAACGCAAGGCAAAAACCACTTCTGAGCGAGACCATGAACTAAAGAGGGCAAAAATGAGAAGGAAGCAGTTAAGGTGGAAATGACCATCATTTTTATTCTTTACTCTGTTCTTTGTTTTTTACATTATGCACAACCCTCATTCAATATGCAATAATCTAATTGTGACATGTATTTGTTCCATATTTTGATGCATGTTTATGCTTTAGAAAACATTTGTTTTAATTTTTTGGGGTGGCGGGTCGGGGCTTGGAACAGATTAGGGCATGTACATGGAAAACGCGTCTCGACTTACAAAATGTTCTAGTTCAGAAATTTCTTCCACAACCAATTCATTTCGTAAGTAGCGGTACCACTGTATATCGTACCTGCAATTGAATGTGTGGAGTCTGAAAAGACGAGATGTACAACTTAAGTCATTTTAGATCATTTTCCAACCGCATTCTCTACTTGTACTATTTCTCCTCAAGTTAACGACTTTGTTCGAATATGGTTTTTAAGACGCAACGTGATCTGTCGTTCATTCAGCTCCTTCCACAATGGAAATATCTCACGAAATGCGAGCCTTCCTGCTCCACCTTTTCGCATGTTTACATCAAAATGGAATCATCTCTGGGCTTTGGCTCACTTCGTACACCGTGCCTCCAGAAACAAGGCGCCATATACGTGACTAATTAGCATCAGGAATTTCTCTACGTCTTGAGCCAAATCTGTTTTTTCAAGCCTGTTAAAAGTGTGTCTAAGTCATATGTCAATGTGGTATTCCGAATGATTTTTGCTGTCCAAAAGAATCAATTCACACGAAATAAAGATTGGCAACAAACGGAAAAAAGATGGTTTGTACATCATCGCTAATGCCACAAAGTCGGTAGTTTTTAGACACTGTTCAGAATGTGACATTTTTGAGAACACGTCATGTTAAGGCATAATGTGTTTCAGAGTGTATCCGTAATAGCAAGGGGCGGGATATAATTGACTCCACCGCGGCGTCTAAAAAGCACTCCGAGATGAGAGCTGTATTTAAGAACAACTTTTATTATCTGCCTTAAATGCCAACCTCATGCGCCACCTTTGCCTGTGAGGGGGGGCTGATTCTTAAATGCCAACGTTAAGTGCAGATGATCATGCACCTGATCATTCAGCAACAGATGCGGCTGGCGGTTGAGATAGTAGCCGGTTTGTTGCAAAGAATTGTCGAGCGGATTGATTTTTCAAAGCTTCCTGTCGACACCAACAGCTCTTACTTGAGAGGAAAATATCTGACATTTGAAAGACGAGCGATGCAAAGTAAGTATGGAAGATCTTATAGAATGTCATGATGTATATGACATTTGTATTCTTCATTGTGACTCCAAAGAAACACTTTAGCACTGTGTCAGTGATAATTTTACAGTTTGAGCCCTGCGAGTCCCAGGGACTCGCTGATCAGAAAAGTATGAGTGCCATTATGCATTTAGAGAGTCCCAAATTTCGAATTCTGAACTGGTTTACTTATTCAATTGCACATGATAATAACACAAACAACAACAATATACATTGATAATAGGTTTATTTCTTATAAACAAATGCTGCAAAAACTTAAATAATACAGGCATACAAGATTTTCTGACAAATAGGTTCTTATTTCATCCCACGGTTGGGTCTTTGAGTTCATAAATTCTCCTCTCTTTACTCTGCTTCCAATGATGCAAGGCTTTCTCAAAGTCAACTTATTATCGCAAAAAATCATCCAACTTTAGCTGCTTCCTCTGTGATATCTCCGCAATAAACTTTCGCAACACTTGTTTTTACGTCACACAACTTGGCAATCGTCTGCCGATCTTGCCAATCTCGTCTCGCGAGAACGGAAATCTCGTCACGCGAGATCAAAACAACAATGGCGGCGATCGTTGCTGCAAAAAAAAGATGTACCGTAGGTTTGTTTTGACTGAGAAATTTCCTTGCGTCCCAAAAACGCACAATATTTGGAACTGTGGATCCCGCGGGAAAATTATGCGTCTTGGACGCGGGACGCAGAGGTACCGAGATGGCTTTGGCCAGCAGATGAAAGCCTAGTGAGGGGTGTCCAAACTTTTTCATTTGAGGGCTTTTTATACAAAACAAAGAGCAGTCAAATAAACTGGAGTGAAAAGTTTATCTCATCTAAACAAAACATAAATGTGTCTGTTTTAGTCCATGTTGAAGGAAGGCATCAGGAGGAGGAGCGGGGGGGGGGGGCTGACTTGTTGATGGTCCTCTTGTTTCCTGCAAAAGGTCACAGTAAATTGAAATGTCTGCCAGTTCTTGATTGATAACAAAATCCAGTTTTGATGCTAATCTGTCCTGGTGCTTGTCTTGTATTGTTGAGGTGTCGGGGCATTTGCTAAGACAGAGCAGCAGTTGATTTCCACTTGCCAGAACATTCAGGAATTTGTGCGGACGTGTTTCCGTTGCGCATAGAGGCAATAAAAAGCTTTAATCAGAAAGGCTGGAGTTCATTATAGACACAGTTGTTTCTCTCTGCCTGCTTGGCGAAGATAAACCTCACTCTGACCAAGGCTTCATCCTTTCTCTGTCGCCCCTGGCCCTCGCTGAATTGATTTCAGTAATAAAGTCACAATCTTGCCGCAATGTACGAACGGCCTTTAATTCATGCCGGTTACAGTGCCAAGGGCGTGCTTGTTTAAGGCTTTATTTACACTCTGGCGGCGCTGCCTCGCATGGCGGGCGCCATGGTGAATCACGCCAGAAGACGTGGATAAAAGGTTTGAAATGCCAAAAGCTCTTAAAGTTGTCTAGGCAGCATTTAAAAGTGTGCGACTGTGAACTTGTGTGGGATGCGCTCCTTGTTATCATGAAAAAGGATTGCTGTTGAAATGTTGCGACTCGGAAAATTCCATCCTCCACAGCCTCAGACGCTCTTTCGCTCGGCAAACGCTTTAAGTCTGTTTGAAGTTCTGTTCTGATCTTGAGGCACTCGACTCTCACTCTTACACGGAGCACAAATGTTTTGACTTTTTCACTGCCTTGTAATCAATGAGACGCCATTGATCCACTTGTCCACACACAGTCACGACTTCCAACCCGTCAAAATGAGATTTGAAAGTAGTGTCGAGTACCGAACGTACATTATGTATCGTAGGGGAGCGGTCCCCAACCTTTTTTGCCCCACGGACCGGTTTAATGTCGGACAATATTTTCAGGGACCGGCCTTTAAAGCGTGACAGATAAATACAACTAAATAAAATGATATGACCTGCATGAAAAGTGTGGTATCTAATAAACATAATAATAAACACGGATCATGACGCGAGGAACGTCCTATCTGGCCGCAACACTCTCTGGTCGCTAAGGTAATGCTTAAACGTGCCTTCAAAATAGGATACACCGCAAATACAAAGTGCATGAAAAAGATGGACTCACTATCGCCGCATATTATGCAGAGTGGGCTTGGTGCGTGGGAATCTCCCGTTGAGATCAATCCGGATTTTAAGTCGGACTCCTGATCCTATCTATTAAATGAAGCCTTCTTTCTCATTCTGCTAACTCCTAGGTTTCGTTTTAGCGGTAAGCTAGCACGTGACCGAGAAGCGCGCCTTGCCCTATGTCAAGAGTGACATACTGTAGACCAGTGTTTTTCAAACCAGTGTGCCGCAAGATATTGTCAGGTGTGCCGTGGGAAATTATACAATATGTATGCCTGTGCGGTCGATCGCCTGGAAGAGTAATCATGTAGTACTCTTCCATACCGGTAGGTAGCAGCAGCAGTGAGGAAATTGCCTTATGCTTCAAGACAATACAATGAAAGGCATCTTTCATTTAGATTTACGTTTACCGGGGATGCAACGGCACCAATGTTCCCTCGAAGGTGCGCAATTGCGCACTGGTCGCACACTGCACAAGAAAACCTATAAAAAGGAGAGCTGTGGTGTTGGTTTTTTAAAATGCACACTTTATGAATGTTTTTCACAGTCTCAACAAATACATGTACGTCTTTGTCTCCGTGCCTTCTCTTCTTCCATTCGACTCGAGAGGCGTTCATGACCGCCTCGGAAAAACGTAAATTAACGATTACTTCAATGAAACTACGAAAATTGAAAATACAGTAATGCATCAAAACAGAAAATCCAGCGAGGAAATCACAAAATATATTCTATAGCCCCCCTACAGAATGTATTTTGTGATTTCCTCGTTTGTGAATACAGTACACAACAAAGGAATAAATAACAAACACTTCTGCGACAGTCCAGTTTCCTCCAATTTACTGACATCTGATTATTCTGTTGCAGCTACACAGGAAATGCCCAAATAAATTCTGTTTTGATGCATTACTGTATTTTCAATTTTCGTAGTTTCATTGAAGTAATCGTTAATTTACGTTTTTTTGGAGGGAGTCATGAATGCCTCTCAAGTCAAATTCAGGGCTGTCGCTCTATCTAGTGGATGCATTGTAGATTGTGCCTTATAGTCCAGTGCGTGCAAGATATGAAAAAATATATTTAAAAAATAGCCCATTCATTGACGGTGCGCCTAATAATCCAGTGCCCTTTTTAGTGCGTAAAATTCGGTATGTATATATACGTTCAGTTTAGACGCTATACCCATCCAGCCTCTGCGTTATTGTGAAAGTTTGCTCGGGCTTCATTTGGAATGAATTTACAGTGTGCTTCAACGATGCTCTGTTTGGTTCTTTGATTACGGGGGGGGAATCTATTTTGATAGTCGCA